CCAAGATGGTGAAAATGGAGGATGGGGGACTGTTGCAGTCGCTGATGGCTTGAGGAATAAATGACCGATTGAAAGCGTTAGTAGATCCAGAAATGCGTTTGATGGTGCAGACGTTGTTGAGGCGAGATGTTCGGTCGGGAAATAATAACAAAGTGGTTTTGAGGCCGGGAATGTGATAGTATAGTTTATTAATAAGGCACAGCTAGGAGACTTTCCTGCGAAGCTGCAAAGAGGACATGGTTAGTTGCGTTTTTAGCGCTGAGACACTGAAAGAAAACTCATAAGTGGATGAAATGAAGCGAGCAGTTCTGTTCTCAACTGCCTCTAGTGTATTGATGAGGTACAGTTGATGGGGATTCCAGATGGTTGAGGCATATTCTAATTTTGGTCTGACGTACGTGTCAAGGATTAGCTTACGGACAAAGGGTGGAGCGCTTCTTAAGTTACGTCTGATTAGTCCACTATATGAATCGGCAGTAATGGCTTCAATGTGGTTACCCCAGGAAAGCTCATATGTTAGTCTTACACCAAGGTATTTATACGCAGTAGCGGTCTCTATCAGATCGGACGCCAAGAAGTAAATAAATGACAGAGTGGTTTTTTTCCTCGTGAAGTGAATTAGTTGGCATTTAGACTTGTTTAATTACATAATCCACTCTTTGCACCAATTGTTAATTTTATCTAGATCTTCCTGAAGCTGGTTATTATTTTGCACACAAGTTACTTTGCTATAGATGACGCTGTCGTCGGCTAAAAAGCGTATTTTTGAAGAAATCCCAATGGGAAGGTCACTAAGTACGAACCCCTGGGGAACACCAGAAGATACATTTATTAAGGAAGATTGATTATCACTATGGACGTGAGCTGTACACGGGAAAAACGAAAGTCACGAATCTATGCAAACGGTTATTGGTCGAGGCAAAGAGATGATAGTTTAGAAAGAAGGCGTTGAACGCTTTGGGAAAACAAAAACTGCGTCAGTCTCGACGTGACATTCAAGGTCAGTGTGCAAGTCATGGATGAAGTCGCAGAGCTGTGTTTCGCAGGAAAGTACCTTTTGAAAACCGTGCTGCTGTTTAAAGAAAAGAAATGGAATGATAGATGCCTCATGATATTAAAGTAGAGGATATGCTCAAGTAGTTTGCAACAAATTGAAATAAACAAAATAGGGCGATAATTAGATTCGGAAGAGCGGCTGCCCTGTATAAAGACTGGAATAACCCTCCCCACCTTCCGGTCAGATGGAAGGCAGCTTTGAGTTAAGGACTGATTAAAGATGAGTTTCAAATACTCACTAGAAATAACACTGGTGTTTCTTTTAAATTTTAGAGTTGGTCTTATCGGTTCCAGCGGACGAAGTAAGTTTTAGTTTATCAATCAATTTTTTAGTACCGGCGGAGTTAGCGTTAATAGGATGCATGCGCTCGTAAAGCTCTTCAGGGAGAGTGGGGACGGAGTCCAAGCACTCGTTAGTAAACACTGATGAAAAGTATTTTTCAATCACAGAACCATCATGCTTGACGTTGCACATCCGACGTTCCTAACACTCCCCATTTTCCTAAACGTCCATGTGTGTTCTAACACCAGAAACCGGAATTTTCATAGTTAAAAGCGGCACGTTGCGAATATGGAACGCGCACTTTCATGCAAAGCTGACGTCAAGTGACTCAAATCGAAAAACATGCATATTTACAATATTGTTATCTCTTCCGGTGAAGGCTCAGCAACCGTTGCATTCCTTTTCGCGCACGAAACGGTGACTCCCAGAGAAAGTAAGAACGCAGCGATTGAGTTTATTTTAATAATGTAAACACACTTGCAGGCGTGCGCTGATGAAGCCTCAAAATCAAAACACTCGTAACGTGATTCGCGACTGCGCCGGCTACTATCCAACCTCGTTGTCACGCCACTTTCTGCAAGCAAACACTAAAATTGCCAGTAAACACAAAAAAGCGACATCGACACAATTATCTTCTAGAATATCACCTTATTTAGTCATAACTGTTTCAATAGGCACTACATGTTGTATTTATTTTAAGAAAAAAACAAAAATTGTTTTGTCAAAAAAAAAAAATATCAATGTTAAGTCTGGTAACATTGTATTTTTGCCGAATCATTGCCAGATCTTTAGAAAAGTTCGGCAAAAGCTGTGCCGAATTTTCGATTCGGCAAAAGTTCGACCCATCACTAGTAAAAATACGCGACCCAGGGGGGGGGGGGAGAGAGGGCCTGGTTCGCCCCCCCCCCCCCCCCCCCCCCCCCACTCAAAAACAAGTTGGTACGCCACTGGGGACCGTGATATCACACGCAGCAATTTTACAAGGACGATGACTCTGAACCGACTGCATGAAACCAAGGGGCTTGCCACCTCGGGGTTTGCTGTCTGGCATTGAGGACAACTGCGGGCATAACGCAAGACATCGCGGTTCATTCGAGGCCAGGTTGCTATGCGGCAGAGCTTTTGGTAGATTTTTTTTTGTTTGTTTTGTTTTTGCTTTTATCACTGTGATCTGCCAGGACACTGTCATGAAAGTAACTTGTAAAAGCATGTCATAATATTTTTGGCACGACTACGCCGAATGGCGACGTAGTAGGGACACCCTCATCTGCTTGAGTTAAGTATCGAAGTAAAAGACCATCGTTACTTTGAACGGAGGTGTCTTTAGGTACAAGAGTCATGTCCTGTTCCCTGGAACTGGGTTGATTTAACTGCGTTGATATTTGTTGGCACAGATCGTCTGCTGACTGGACTCTGAGCAGCTGTTCCCGGGTCACGACTACACCCCAGAAAATTTCCTCATTAGTAACAGCGACCGACTCCGTCGCTCCTTTCTTTTACTGTGGTCTAAGGGGACCTGAGACAAGGCGTCCACCGCAGTGTTAAATTTGCCAGGCCGGTACTCAATGGAGAAATTGTATCCCTGTAAGGCGAGAGCCCATCGAGCTAGACGTCCTGCTGGGTTTTAAAATTTTTCAGCCAGGTCAACGCTTGGTGGTCCGTGTGAATTGTTCTGGTGGCACCGTCAAGGTACATATCGAACTTCCTATCGCTAGATGCTCCTTTTTGGTGACTGTATAGTTACGCTCGGCTCCCGACAGTGTGCGGCTCGCAGATGCAACGGGTCGTAAGGCCCCATTATGTTCCTGCAGAAGCACTGCTCCTAGTCCGTACTCGCAGGCGTCTGTTTGTAGCACAAATGGGGCATTGAGATTGGGAAGTCTGAAGAACGCTGTATCGTCAATGGTGACTGCCAGCGTTCTAAATTCTTCCTCGTTAACTGCCGTCCAATTCCATGGGATATCTAGACGCAGTGGCGCATGAAGAGGTCGGGCCAAATCGGCACTGTTTATATAAATTGGTGGTAGAATCCACGCAAAGATATCGCTCTAGACTCTTCTTGTCCTGAGGACTGGGAAATTCCATCATTTCTTTCAACTTCTCCTCCTGTGGATGGAGGAATCCATGCTCCACCACGAATACAAGGAGAGCTACCTTACTTGAAGCCAGCTGTAGTTCCGTGAGTTAATCGCCAGTCCTGCATCACTCATGCGCTCCAAGGCAAGCTCCAAATAATTAATCCGGTCATCCAAAGTGCTTGAAAACACCGCAACGTCGTCCATGTAAGCCATTGCACAGTTAAATTTAGGATCTTCCAAGACTTTGTTCATGAGCCTCTGGAAGCTTGCGGGAGAATTAGAGAGGCCAAAAGGAAGTCGACCAAATTCAATAGTCCCCTCTGGCAAATGAAGGCCGTCTTAGGAGTGTCAGCCTTGGCGACAGGAATTTGGAAAAACCTTCTGTTATAGTCAAGAGTGGTGAAAATGCATGCCGATCTCAGTACATATATAACGGACGAAATCGATAAAAAGAGGTATGTATCCCTTCTTGTTATGGCGTTAAAAGGACGATATTCCACGCACAGACGCGCTGTTTCATCTTTCTTAGGCGCCAGGACGATAGGGAAGGCCCACGGACTGTTCGAGAGGTGCATCGTGTTGGTCTTGATCATTTCTTCTAACGCGCGGTCAAGGAGCTGTCTTTTATGGACACTCAAGCGGCGCGCGTTGAATCGTATTGGTCGGGTATCTCCGGTATCGATTTGGTGTTCTATTATGTTAGTCTTCCCGGGAATCTCAATAAACATGGGGGAAACGGTTTCAACACTTTTGCAAGACGGTCCCGCGGAATATCTATCCCAGAGAATAAAGTCAAGGCTACACGTATATTTTGTGCTACGCCGGTGGTCAGCGAAACGTCTGCATTTTGCTCAGAATGGCGTGCTCCGCCCCGTGAGAGACGCTCTGGTATTCTCTGAGGTCTCACCGGAAAGCTTAAAGGGGTTGAGTTCCAGCCATATCGGTATTCTCCCGTTGCGAGTTCTAGGATGATACCGTCTCTGGTCATAAAATTCCTTTCAAGAATGATGCCACAAGCGTGACCTGGCAGATAAGTAAGGTATTGCCGACATTTCCGTCCATCAAAGGCGAGTTGCGAGGGAGCTCCCTCGCTGGCGGATGATACTTCGTTTGACGCAATGCGCAACTTTTTTTGTAAGGATCGCATAGATAAACTACGGTCTTTAAACAGTTGTTTTGTAAAGTCTTCAAAAAGATATATTGTGGCGTCCATATCTAAAAGGGCTGGAATGTTCTGCCCTGCAATGCAAACTATGACGTAAGGTTCTTTGGCTCCGCGTTTGCTCCGTCGCGTCGCATGAAGAAATGGAACCAAATTGATTGGTGTGCAAAAACGAGATGCCCAAAGCAGTTGGGCGCGAATTTGATTCCATGTCACTGCCGGTGATGGCCCACTTACCCGCCGGACGCTAAACCATATTGTAGTGCCGTCATCATCGCGATGAAATGGGCAACCGATTGACCGGCCCGTACCATCCGCTCTCTGCTGAAACGTGGTTTGTGTTGGACCTGTCGCGGGCCATCGTCCCGTGATGTACGAGCTGTAATAATACTGCAACGGGTATTCAATTCCGATGAGATACTCAGCTTTGCAATGTCATGCTGAGTGACTCCGAGAAGGTCTGGTGAGATTCATTTCTTGCTGCAGAGGGATCCTCGCACATGTTGGGAGGCGCCACGGGAGGCGCCTCGTCGGGCACCTTCATGTCTCTGAAGGGTCCACCGCTAGCCGCAGTGGGATCCTCAGACATGTCGAGAGGCGCCACGGGAAGCGCCTCGTCCGGCACCTCCATGTCTCTGAAGTGTCCACCGTTAGCCGCAGTGGGATCCTCGGACATGTCGAGTGGCGCCACGGGAAGCGCCTCGTCCGGCACCTCCATGTCTCTGAAGGGTCTACCGCTAGCCGCAGTGGGATCCTCGGTCATGTCGAGAGCCGCCACGGGAAGCGCCTCGTCCGGAACCTCCATGTCTCTGAAGGGTCCACCGGTAGCCGCAGTGGGATCCTTGGACATGTCGAGAGGCGCCACGGGAAGCGCCTCGTTCGGCAACTCCATGTCTCCGGACGATCCACACGCTAGCCGCAGTGGGATCCTCGGACATGTCGAGTGGCGCCACGGGAAGCGCCTCGTCCGACACCCCCATGTCTCTGAAGGGTCCACCGCTAGCCGCAGTGGAATCCTCGGACATGTCGAGAGGCGCCGCGGGAAGCGCCGCGTCCGGCACCTCAATGTCTCTGAAGGGTCCACCAGTAGCCGCAGTGGGATCCTCGGACATGTCAAGAGGCGCCACGGGAAGCGCCTCGTCCGGCACCTCCATGTCTCTGAAGGGCCCGCCGCTAGCCGCAGTGGGATCCTCGGACATGTCGAGAGGCGCCACGGGAAGCGCCTCGTCCGGCACCTCCATGTCTCTCAAGGGTCCACCACTAGCCGCAGTGGGATCCTCCGACATGTCGAGAGGCGCCACAGGGAGCGCCTCATCCGGCACCTTCATGTCTCCGAAGGGTCCACCGCTAGCCGCAGTGGGATCCTCGGACATGTCGAGAGGCGCCACGGGAAGCGCCTCGTCCGGCACCTCCATGTCTCTGAAGGGTCCACTGCTAGCCGCAGTGGGATCCTCGGACATGTCGAGAGGCGCCACGGGAAGCGCCTTGTCCGGCACCTACATGTCTCCGAAGGGTCCACCGCTAGCCGCAGTGGGATCCTCGGACATGTCGAGAGGCGCCACGGGAAGCGCCTCGTCCGGCACCTCCATGTCTCTCAAGGGTCCACCGCTACCCGCAGTGGGATCCTCGGACATGTCGAGAGGCGCCACGGGAAGCGCCTCGTCCGGCACCTCCATGTCTCTGAAGGGTCCGCTGCTAGCCGCAGTGGGATCCTCGGACATGTCGAGAGGCGCCACGGGAAGCGCCTTGTCCGGCACCTACATGTCTCTGAAGGGTCCACCGCTAGCCGCAGTGGGATCCTCGGACATGTCGAGAGGCGCCACGGGAAGCGCCTCGTCCGGCACCTCCATGTCTCTGAAGGGTTCACTGCTAGCCGCAGTGGGATCCTCGGACATGTCGAGAGGCGCCACGGGAAGCGCCTTGTCCGGCACCTACATGTCTCTGAAGGGTCCACCGCTAGCCGCAGTGGGATCCTCGGACATGTCGAGAGGCGCCACGGGAAGCGCGTCGTCCGGCACCTCCATGTCTCTCAAGGGTCCACCGCTAGCCGCAGTGGGATCCTCCGACATGTCGAGAAGCGCCACGGGAAGCGCCTTGTCCGGCAGCTACATGTCTCTGAAGGGTCCACCGCTAGCCGCAGTGGGATCCTCGGACATGTCAACAGACGAAACGGGAAGCGCCTCGTCCGGCACCTCCATGTCTCTGAAGGGTCCACCGCTAGCCGCAGTGGGATCCTCGGACATGTCCAGAGGCACCACGGGAAGTGTCTCGTCCGGCACCTCCGTGCCTCTGAAGGATGCACCGCTAGCCGCAGTGGGATCCTCGGACATGTCGAGAGACGCCACGGGAAGCGCCTCGTCCGGCACCTACATGTCTCTAAGAGTACACCGCTAGCCGCAGTGGGGTCCTTGGACATGTCGAGAGGCGCCACGGGAAGCGCCTCGTCCGGCACCTCCCTGTCTCTGAAGGGTCCACCGCTAGCCGCAGAGGGATCATCGGACATGTCGGAACGCACTACGGGAGGCTCCTCGTCCGGCACCTCTATGTCTTTTAGAAACCCGTGGCCTTGCGAAACCTGGTCCTCGGACTCGTTTTGGTTTGCCCGGTCTCAATAGGTGGCGGTGCCATCGTGGAAAGGCGGGTCAAGGGTTGGGTCTGCTCGTGTAACCAGGGCTGCCTCCCCGGACCACAAGGTTTAAAAGGTGCGGGAGACTTTTGGCCTGGATGAAAAATTCGCCGGCGACTGGCAAGCCCACATTATCGCCAACTTACCTTGTCTCCCGATTTGAAGGCTATGGCAGAAGACGGGCAGTTTCTGCGTAAATGGCCTATGCCATCGCATTGAGAACAACGAGGTGACGGTATCTGCTCCGACGTTTGGGATGGCTGGAGCTGCCGGGCCATGGCAGCCGTATAATTAGTTGTGTACCGGTCCGTGATTGATCGATGCCACTAGAAGGGAGCAAGGGGCTCCGTCAAGCTGTTCTCACAGCTTTTTTTCCTTGTTTCCTCCATTTATGTATCGAAATGAAAAATGAAGTTCCTTAATATTAATAATAATAATCTCCGTGTCTCGTACTACGCCTCTGGCCGCCGAGCACCGAGTCTCTGTACCATGGCTCGTCCACCAGGGAGAGAAATGGCGTCTTGCGTCAGAGCGTACGCGTACGGATCGAGCGCACGCGGCATCATTCCACGGTGGTGCTGGGGATACCGAGGTCGCCCGTCTGCAGCACCCCGGTAGGGTGTCCTGCCGGACCAGGCGCATAAGGGTTCCAAAGAGTCCTAAGGTTGGGGAGGTAGTCTGTAATTGAGCTCAGCCATAATGTCAGCCCAAATCTGACTAGCCGCCCGGCCGCAGCATCTAAGTTTGAAAGGCTACGACTTCGCAAGTAAGGGTGAAACTGCGGATGGCTTTGTCGGATAGCCTGTGCAACCCTTTTGGATGGCGAAGCGCTCAGTTCGGCTCTGTCGTAGAGCGTCTGTATGGCGCGCACAAACTCAACGAAAGGTTCATCTCCGTGTTGGGTCCGTGCCCGAAGTTCATCCCGGATACGTGCAGCATAACCTGGTGGTAAAAACTCGCCCCTGAAGCGTTCTGCAAAGTCATCGGAGTTTAAGAACGACTGCTGTCTTCTGCGCCAGTCTGCTGCACATCCTGTCAATGCGACCGGAAGGACGCGAGCCAGCAGCGCTACCTCGGATATACCAGATGCTGCCTTATAGTCCCGAAGCTCTAAAAGAAAGTGGGCCGCTGATTTTGGGTCGGCGTATCCAGCGTATTTTGGTAATTCTTGCCGCAATCGCGGCATACCTGTGGCTGGCTGTACGAGATGTCCAAATGTGGCCTCGCGCCTTTGGAGTGGTCTCATCATTCCGGCAAGACGCAAGGAAAGTTGGTCCTGAAGAGTGTCTACCGGCCGAACGTTGGTGTTAGGGGAGGCATCTCTCGGTGTCGGGGCGGGGCGCCTTTCCAACAGTAATTCGCGCGACTCAAGGTGCGAAATATCTGGCGGAGAAGCTGACCCCAATGGCGTAATATCGGGTCTATCTCCATCTGTAGGTGTGTCTTGTTCGATTGGAAGGCCCTCCCCGGCAGGGTTTCTTCCCTGGTCTCGAGCGCGAGTTGTCGGTCACGTATTACATGACATATAAAGACCGAGTGAAAAGAGCCTCGATGCTAGTCAAAGCGCCATATATTTACCTTGGCCGTGTCGACGTGTAGCTGCGGTGATGTCAGGCCCCACGTTGAAGACGCAGCAGCAGCTCATCGGCGACCGCTTTCTCTTCAAGAAGGGCGACCGCTTCCTGCAGGCAACCATTGCTGTCATCAAAACCAAGCGCTCCCTTCCCCCCGAGGGGGAGGGGGAGGGGCGGAGTGTGGGAAACGGGGAAAAAGACGACAAATAAAGAGGACCGACAACTCGGTGACGAACGGGCGAATGGGGCAGTCGGCGCTTGAACACCAAGAAGATTGGTGTTCCTTTCTTTTTTTCTTTTTTTTTCTTTCCACAATGTATGCATATCTTTTTCAGATTGTTTAGCACAGTATATCGCAAAATCGAAATACCTCAGGAGGAGAAGGAAAAGAGGGAAGGAGGAGGAGACAATGGGAGGAGGAGAGGGTACGGAGAAAGAGGAGGGGCATTCCCTCCCCTTAGAACCCTCCCCTCCTCGAGAGAGAGCTATGCTCTAATTCGGCGTTATAGGAAGTTGTAGAGGGATAAAGATATAAAAAACAAATCGGTGGCCGAGTGGCTAGCGCACACCAGCTGAGAGCACGGGCGCGGAAGCACGCGCTGCAGAACCCAGGGATCCTGAGTTCAATCCCCACCTTTGCCCATTTCGATCTGGATGAGCATCATACCGGCGTGCTGTTGTGTACGCTACTGCGTGGTGCTGCACTGGCTAAATTTCTCATCTATAGCTGGGAGACTCGTCGCCCGTTGAGGCAGATATTTTGGGCTCTTAAAGAAAACAATGCGGGGAACTTTTACCCTAAAAGTTCGACATTCGTCAAACTTTTGACTTTTCAGGATTCGGAAGTTGGAATATTTTCAAATTCTATTGATAAATAAGTTCTAAAGTTCGATGATTGTCGAATTTATTAGCGTCGAACTTCTTAGTTGAATAAGATCTAAAATTCGACTACGGTCGAATGCTTCGATATAGAAAGTTCGAAAATTCAAAATTTTCGACCTTTTTGAACCGCTTGATTCGATCATCGAAACTTCAAACCGCGGTTATAACAAAGTTCGCGGCATCCCTAATAAATATCCATACAACCCCAATTATAGGATGTTGTAAACGTCCTTCATGTTTTTCTTGTCGGGCCGTATCAAGCTGCTGCGGCGATGCAAACTGGGCTTCCTTTTTTTCGTTTATACACCAACACAGTGTTTCGAAACAAGCCCGCTTCGCCCACACAAGGTGTGGGCACCGCGCATGCCCAGAAACCACTTCCGGGAGGAGCGAAGCGTTTGCGCAAGCGAAGAGCCGACGACAGCGTCACCACAGTGGCGTGACGTCTGTGAGTTGAGTTGGCCAATACGTGTCTCAGGACTGGCTTGTTTGCGTTCTTCGCATCAAAACTGCAAGTATGCTTCGTTTTAATGTAAGACCCTACCGCGGTTGACCCTGCGATCCGATAGAACCAATCAATCACAGCCAAGGGTGTGACGTCACGGCACTCATCGTCTTTCTGTGTTCTCTATCACCGGCCAAACCGATCATGCAGTGAAACAAAAAAGCGCGGGATTGGGGCGCATTTAATGTTGGTGATTGGTTTCGTCTGTGATAAAATGAAACGCTCAAAAACGACTAGCGCCATGACGATGCACTTTTAGTGCTGCTTGATTGGCTACATTGATTGCAGCGCCGGCTGCGGTGGGATCTTAGAGAAACACTGCAAGAAAAAAAAGAGATTTTTTTAAAGGGCAAAGATAGGATACGTACTTTTTTTAAATTTTTTTCCACCAAAGAGATTTTGTTCGCGCAATATTTACGCCGTTAGACGCAATTTAGGTGGAAGTCATGGCCAGCTCTAAGCCCCGCACGCGAATCAGTGGCCCTACCCATTAGTACTGGACTGGCTTGGCTGCTCGACCGAACAGGCTTACAAGCGTAGTGTCTCCCTTTCACGACACCTGGTGCGTCCAGTCTGGGAGTCCAAGACAGCCTGCTAGTCGTGCGAGCAGACGCGCGGAAGCCTCCGGTATCGTCTGCTATTACACCACCGTCTATCGTCGTCTGCAATGCTCGTGAGACGCGGACACGAAAGCTGCGCGTCGGCGTCCGTTTTCACCTCCGTCGGTCTGCTATGCCCCTTCTGTCTAAAAACGTCTGCAAGGCTCAGACGACGTGACCATGAAAGCGGCGTTCTAGCGTTCCATCATGAACGATCCACAGTTCAATACAAACGTATGTCAGTATCTATCGATGTGCAGTAATAAGCGACCGAAAGGACTAAAAAAATTCAACGAAATAAATATGCAGTTTGTTCAACTTTACTGTTATTGTTGTTGTTGTTGTTTTTCTTCTTTCTTGTTGCATGTGCGAGCAAGGTTCTTGACCCTCATAAGGCAGAATTAAAACGCGACGTAAAAATATTCGCTTTGGTGGGCCAGGTGCACTGCGAAATTTGAGAGCTGCGTGCCTTTCGTGGAGAAATGACGGGAACATACCTAGACCAAATACAATTCGCCTAAACAAACTTGATGCGAGCCGATCGCCTGATTGCATCCAACCAAATGGCTCGGATATTCTTATCTGTGTAGGTATCTTCACGGTGTAGACTTCTTCCGAAACTGACGCGCCCCATCGGGGCGAAATACCACGGAGTGTACCCCAAGAACTAATTGGCCACTCAGTTTCGGTTTCGACTCCGCAGATTCATGTCATGCAATCATGCCGCGACCGAACGCGCTGCTTGCGTTTTCGATTATCTGAACTTTTTATGAATGTACAATACACTCATTCTCGAGCGGTACAAAAGGAATACCGGGGCACTTTCCTTGGTTCCCGAAACACCGGATATTGTGCGTGCGCATGCAAACGGTAAGACGTGGCTTAGTCACCTCACCCCACGAGTGCATCTTTGAGCTCAGTTTAAATACTCCCGTCTAGTGCCAGTGAACTCCAACTGAAATATGGTCACTTTGAGCCTTACACGTATTTTGTTTGCTAAACATCCGCTTTTTGTTACTTCATTGGGCGAAAAACAAGCCGCATCCTCACAGGAGTATCAAAGTTGAGACCAGCGATGACATTTAAACTTTTAAGGAAACGCAATAAATTCGACCTCACTGCTGCACAAAAGTTACTATGATGTCTTCCTCGTGTCATCATATATCTCCCACTCAAATTATATGCTGATAGACGATTACGTTTTCGCA